AATTCAGTTCATAATCGGACGACAAAAAAATTGTTCTGATCATCGTTATCGAAGTGAATAATCATTCGACTTTCCTGATCGGCAAAAAGTCATATTGAAAAGTGTCTAATGTCGGAGTCGCTCAAACATCGGTCGTTCAAATGTCGGTCGCTCAAACGTCGGTTGACGGCTAGAAAAGCAAATTTCTTTCGCCATGATTGTATGTCGATTTGTTTTCTTCACTTTTGGAAACCGATCTGAATATCTAAAGATCTCAATATTTGAAAACTGAAAGAAATAATCTTTCTCAAAAAAATCATCAGTTTTTCCAAAAATCATAATTGTGAAAATCAGACTACTGGAAAATAGCCCAAAATGGTTTATTTCACCTAATACAGGTTTTCACCAGGTTTCTGACCTGTTTTCGGAAAACACATATTGCTATGAGTTACAGCATGATTGATACCCTATGTTTCCAGTTATTTCTGACGTTGCCGCACCTGTGGGACAAGGTCCCAGCAAAATGCCACCCGAAAACCATGACAGCTGGAGAGATCGGCCTTTGCGATTATTTGTAGAGGACACCATACTTCTAAAATAATAAGATCATTACAGAACTTAAGAGAACAGCGACGGAACGTTCTGAAGTAGACCACCTGAAAATCCGAGGTTTCCAAGCCTCATACTCCAATCGATAGAGTGACTTCTTCTCTACAAAATGGTAACAACCGCAACTTCTATCTCTTTCTGTTCTTGAGTTATTCAAAGAATGGCCACGACCACTATTTTATTGGAACTAGATAGTTATATGCCTATGAAATGATAATATCATGCACAAAATAGTTTTTTTCTTTCTTGAGTGTAACGTTACGAAACAACTGTGTGATTAATCCTTTTCAAAAAAGAAAGGGAAAAAGTTAATGAGTTGACAGAACGGGGAGAAAAGAATGCTTTCCCATAGTTGCAAAAACAACGATAAACGTAAAGTTATATGTTAACTGATAAAAAGCAACAAGCCAGAAAAAAACCAGAACAGAGATAAATAGTAGTTTCAGAATGAATGTAAAAAAGAACATATTGTTGTGAAAAAAGCAGTTTTTTTTTCTCGTGGGTATTTTCACATAAAATTTCTATATCTATAGCTTTATTGCACATAATGACTAAGATGCACTTCTGAAATTTTCCTTTTAAGAAGTTGCACCTTGCATTTTTGTTTTTTTTTGGTAATTTGCATATCAGAATTCAAAAAGAAGGATTCTACATCATAAAAATTGCTGTTGTATGAAAGTATCTACTTGTTACCTTTGAAACAGCAAATGTAAACATCTAAATACCTGCCGAAGTATTTTGTTTTCGTGTGAAGAAAAAACTGCAGGCTGCAAAAATGAAAATGCTTGAAGTCATAATGTTCGTTGTTGTATTAACTATTATGTGTGTTTTACTAGATATTTAGTATTCTAGAAAAAAATTTCGAATTAAAAACCAATATATTAAAACGATGGTCAACGAGAGTCAATTAATCGAAAGGACAAACGATTTGAATCAAGATATCGATGAAGCAACAATGTTAGGGCATCAGGTGTTCGACAGAAGAACAAATGGCTTTAGCAGTCTTTTAACTTATCTGTACACATTGGAAATGTCGACTGATACAGAGTCGGAAATAATAGATCCATCATTGACGCGTACTATTAATGTTTCAGTTAAGTTCGGCGAAATCATCGATCAAATTAGTGAATCACACAACGTTGCTGAAAGACGTTTAGATATTGGTAAGAGTTTTTGCACAATCTTTCAGTATAAAACCTCTTTTCTTTTTAATATCTTTAATATTTATAATAGGCGTTAACATGCGAGATGTTTTTTCTATATCATCTGTGATGAAGAAGATCCTTGTCTATATTTAGAAGATGTGAAGTCCATTGGGTTAATACAAGAAGATGTTAATACGATGGAGCGGTTAGGACAAGAATCTTTTGATCGATTGAGAACAAGTTCAAGTTTTAACAGCTTAGACATCCAGCAATTTGATTATGATCCTAATTGTAATTTCAATGAATGTTTCGATGATTACGATAAGGGCAAACAATCAGAGTCCATTGTTAGTTCTTCCACAGAAATATCTGGGAATACACAAGAAGTCATTCCATACTGGACTCAAACAAGTTTAGAGGCGCCGTTTGTGAATACAACACAAAAAGATAATGCAGATAAACTTGCAACAGGTATACGCCAAAACACGTTTATTTACTCTGTTATATGAGTTTTATTCTAATTTTTAGAACAATATGTTACAATACCTCCAATACCTTCTCAAGATAAAAACCAACTTCGTATCAAAAATGGTATAAATTCGAAATATCGTCCACAAACGAAACATGAAATATTTCCCATACGAGGACAAAATGCCGGTAAAGTGCAACCATCACGATACATTAGAGATAAAGTCGGTTGTCGTGATATAATCCTAGAGGTAAGAGATTCTTGTATTTCGCTCGTTAATAGAAAATTTTTAATGTAAAATTTTGTTATTTTCTTAAGATACCTGAGAAATATTTGTCAACGAATAATCTATTAATTAAAGTTGCCTGGGTAACGGCGTCTCATAATGGAAAAACATATTACATTCCATACAAGTTTCAACGTGATAATAAAAACGTGAATGTTAAAGACAAAAATCCAATATATTATAGAGTTACTAAACAGGATCTTTGTGCTAGAGAAATTAAGTATGTACTAAGCAAGTCATCGACTGTACTAGACAGCCCCTCAATGTCGCGAAGTTGTCTCCTTTATCTTTCAGGATCAAATTAGTATGTATAAGAAGTCTAATAAATCAGCTAGAATCTGTTCAATCATTAAAACCCTTTGATGGCAGTTCATTACCTAATGACGTAATAGGTGAGAAACTAGTAATATTTGATTTCAAGATTTATAAAATTCTTTTTGTTTAGAGTCTGCTATTGTTTCAACAACCGAGTTGCTTAACGAATATGAACTGGAGAAGTCCCGTTTAGCTTTTACTTTATGTAGTTACCACGGCCATGAACAATTAAAAGAACCGCAAAAAACAGGGGAGCCTCTAACACTTGATATTGACGAACTTGAAGTAAAAATGTTCATAGAATCAACGGTTATATCTGATGAAATGATTGAACAAGAAAGTAGGTTACAAAAATAAACGTTAGATTTTACTGAATGCAGCAGTTAATGAAGGATTTTTTTCTTTAGACAGACAACGCAAAAAGAGGCCAACACGAAGAAAAAAAGGTAAGTTCGTACTGAAACTCAAAAACATTTATATCGAAAAAAATTTCATTTGATGAATAGCTGAACAACCAAATTGTCAGTATATATCTGAAAGACCATTAGTTGGAAAAAGAAAACGAAAAGTTAAGGAGACGCAAACGGAAACGAGGAAAAAACGATGTTCAACAATTGGGGTACGTTTATATGATAATGATGTTACAAAATTTCAGTAACTTGATATGAATCACACACGATTCTCTAGAGACCTATATACAGACAAAACAGAATAGAGTCCAAACTTTGGACATATATACTTTAGAACTACATTCGTTTTCTCTAACTTATACTCTAAACAGCAATACATTTGGAAAAAATTTGTCTGATTGTATAAAGTCTTCAAGTTTAGAAGTATTTCCCTGCATAGTTTACAAGAAATCGTTTGTTTAAAAAATAGTTACAAGTAATGATCTTGTTTTCTAATATCATCTTGTTCTTTATTAAGGCTGATAGTTAATGGCATGTTATTCTTAACTAAGAAGATCTTGTTTAGTAACTATATAATATATTGGGTTTTTGCTTTTAACATTCACATTTTTATGATCACGTTGAAATTTGTATGTATTGTAATATGTTTTTTTTCATTATAAGGCACTGTTAACCAGACAACTTGAATTAATAGAATTAAGAAGTTAGGATCCGGAGTCTCATTGTTCGATGGGTCGAGCGCTCGGCCAGGCTCCATTTTTCGAGTGCTCCTCGCACCCTTCGAGCGACCTTTTTCATCTGCATAGGTCCTATAAGGTGTTTATATATTCCAAAAGCAAAAACGTGATGTTTCTAAGTTTGACCAACTCTTTTTCGGTAAGGCTGTTAATTACGTGTGGTTGTTGGCATTATTGTCAGGAAAAGAAATCGAAATTACATGATTAGTTACTCTTTCAGAAATCTGATATTAGAGTGGATTGAAATAATCTTTTTGCTTCGATTCCAACTTTCGTTCATTCCTATCGCTCAAGTATGACGCATCTAGACATAGAGAGAAAGAGAAAAGAAACAGAAAAATTTATATGCATAGGCATCCTCAAGGAAAAATATTTGTCTAAAGGACAGAATTAAGCTTTCTAAAACAAAAATACCTACAAATGTTCCTCTGATCATGAAGAACAGAACGTTCGATTTCTTTCCCTGACAATAATGCCAACAAACACACGTAATTAACAGCCTTACCGAAAAAGAGTTGGTCAAACTTAGAAACATCACGTTTTTGCTTTTGGAATATAAACACCTTATAGGGCCTATGCAGATGAAAAAGATGGTTCGAAGGGTGCGAAGAGTACTCGAAAATGGAACCTTGCCGAGCGCTCGACCCATCAAAAAATGAGACTTCAGACCCTCGATATAAGCGTTGAAAGGATTATCGACTTTTAACCATCGGGTTCTGACAGATAGCAAGCCCTCGAGAATAATTCCGAGCCGTCGAACGGAGAAGTTCGGAACCACTAGATCAGAAGTCCCAAACATCTCTGTTCAACGGCTCAAAATCAATAACGTCTCGAACGCTCATATCGGAGGTTCGAAATCTCATTTTTGGAGTCCCGTTGAGAGCATATTTTTGAGTACTCGAAATATCCCTCAAATAAGTGGTTGGGTAGCAACAAAAAGAATCATACATTGAACTCACTAGTCAAGTAACTTTTTAAGGCAAATTAGACTGATACTGCGAAAAGGTGAGCTGCCTCCTTTCATTTTTGTCCGATTGCAACACATTTTGTAAATAATAATATCTTTTTGGTGTG